CCCCCCGAGCCTCTGACTCCACCCCGGAGCTTTGCTGCTGCCCAGTTTTTAATTCACCATTTGTGTCCCTCTATATTTAAATGGGATTTTGGGTGGATGCTCTGTGTGTGTATACAGAGGGATTTTATGTAGATATGTTTTATATATAATTTATATTTTCATGTATATTTATATTTAAATTTGTAAAATAGGGGATGTAAGAATGTACTCACATACTAAAAAATAGAATATATACCTGAAAGTTGTCTGTGAAATTATAAATACATAATATATAAATAATATACCACATAATACAGTCACATATAATGTATATATAGAAATAAAAATTATGGAAATAATTCTGATATAGTCCTACCATTATGTGTATTACAATCATACCATTATGTATATGATATATATTATATGCATTATATACTATATAAATGTTGTCTAACTATATAACTATATCAWAATRTATAMAATACATWATATAATATAKAATATAAATATACGTAAGTAAATATATAAAATTTATTCTATACAGTAATAATAAAATATCTATAGTATATAGTATTACAGTAAATATCTATAGATATTTATACTATAGGTATTTATATATACATATATATACTATATAAATATCTATAGTATAGAGTATATATTACTGTATATAGTAAATTTTAAGTTTTAAAATTAATTTTAAAAATTAAAAAAATTTAGTACTTTTAAAATTAATTTCATATAAACCCCACCTATATAAAACATACATATTTACATTATTCCTGAAATTTTAGACTGAGTTAGACAGGATCCATGAGGATCACAAGGCCAACTCCTGCAAGTTAAATCCCAGATCCCCAAACTGTGACTGAGTTTTCCAGYTCCCAACCTCTGCTGCTCCACAAAGGGGCTTTTCCTGCCCTTGCTGCCCCGGGATGGGGTGGGAGGAGCCCCCAGCCCCAGGCACTGCCCACACTTACTTTCTGTGGAAGGCATGTTTGCAGGGACAGATCCCCAGCTCGTCCTTGGGCTTGAACTCCTCCAGGCACACGGCACAGATCTGCGAGGGGTGGGATGAACGGGAAGAGTCAGTGCTCAGGAAAGGAACATTTGTGCATTAAAACTACACACACAGCCAAAATCATGGAATTATGGAATGGTTTGGCTTGGGAGGGATCTTAAAATGCATCCCATTCCACCCCTCTGCAATGGGCAGGGACACCTTCCACTATCCCAGGGTGCTCCAAGCCCCGTCTGATCCGGCCTTGGGCACTTCCAGGGATCCAGGAGCAGCCACAGCTTCTCTGGACACCCTGTGCCAGGGCCTCACACTCACAGCAAAGAATTCCTCCCTAAAGCCTTCCCAAATTTCACTTCCTGAGCTTTGGGATCGCAGGCTGAGGCTTGGGTTTCCCTTTCCTGGTGGAAGGAGGGAGCATCCCCACAACAGCCCCAAAGCTGGGATGTGTTTGAGGTTTTAGGGTGCAGGAGGATGAATCCATGCTGCCACTTGGTCCCTGGGGCTGAGCTGCACCCACAGGGATACTCTGGGAAGAGGGAAAGGCAAGGGGTCCATTTACCCCAGGGCTGGGAAAGCTGGTGGCTGTTTTCCCAGCAGCCAACAGACTCAGCCAAAACCTCCTTCCCCCTCACAGCCAGTTCCTCCTGACTCATTTTGGATATCCAGGGGATTTTTGGATATTCCTGGGTGGTTTTACCAGCCTGGGATCTCTGTCAGTGCACCAGGTGCAGCTGTTGGGGTCATTCCCCCAGGAACACACACATCCAGAGCTCCCCCAGAGCCTGGGAGAGGCAGAATGATGGAAAAAAGGGAAAACCAGAGCCAGAGCCAGCGAGGGAAGAGCTGGGAGGGCGCTTTCCCTCTGCAGGGCTCCAGGCAGCCACCCCATCTTGTTGGAAAATTCCCACCCCGTCCTCTGCTTTCCAGAAATGCTGACTGCAAATGCCGAAATACAAATGCCCAAAATGGTATATTTTTGAACCAAACCCTTCCAGGCTTTTTCAAATTTTCAGAAAAACTGTTCTACCCCCTTCCCCACAGACCCCTCATCCTCCCCAAAAGCTGGGAGAGCTGAAGACAGCTGGGAACAGGGCTGGTGGAGGAAGAGGACTGAGCGGCTGTTCCCGGCTCTGGCACATTCCCAAATCCCTCCTACAACCCATTTCTCACCCCAGGAAGTGCTTTGAAGCCTGTATGCCGACAAAAAACCCACTGCAGGTCGATTTAATGGGACTGGATCAGAAATAGGGGCCTCCAGCAGGGACTGCYCAGAATCCTGGGGCCATTGGGATTTACCCTGGAGCCCTTGGGATTTACCCTGGAGCTGTGGGGAGTGGAAGGTGAGGATAAAATGTGGGATGGGCTCTGCTCAGGGGATTAAAATAAAATAAATAGTGGCTTATAAACAACTGGAGCTGGTACTGAGCAGACAAGCAGCCTCGTGCCCAGATGTGGGTGGGCATTTTTGTTGTCTCTAGGGGAATAAATCAATCCAGGCTGTGCCTGATGTGGGATTCGAGTGGATTCCTGCTCAAATTCAGCAGGAAAAAGGGGGGCTGTGAATAGGAACAGCCCCAAAAAGCCTGGAAGACCACGGAGAAAAACGAGCCGGGGTGTTTCAGCCCTCAGGGGCGGGGAGGGAGGAGCGGATCCGCCTCTCCCAGGAGCCGGGAGAGAGTGTTTATCCTGGATTTCAGTTTCCCTGCCCAGAGCTGAGCTGGGTATTGTCACGCCCCGATGGTGGCAGAGCCAGAGGGGATGTCCCTGCCCAGGGACGCTGTTTATACAAGGCCCAGGCTGCCTTGGCCTCCCGTTATCCACAGCTTCTTATCAGTGTGATAAGGTGTACAATAAATAACAGTAACGATGCAGGAAAACCCAAGGAGAACCAGGAGGAGGGAGAGGGTTTAATCCAGGCTTTTGCAGAAGAGCTTTCCTCTTTTCCAGCAATTTCCAAAGCAAAACTGCCTGCGTGCTCTGCTCCCAGTAGGAGAATTCGAGGGTTTGCCCCCTCCCCAGGATGAAGAGGAGGAGGGACAGGGAATTTTTGTCACCCCAGGATGTGCTCACCTCATGGAGGTTCAGTTCCTTCACCTTCTCCTTGAGTATGACCTGCAAGACAAAGAGCTGGGGTCAGGGTGGAGCTGCTGCTGTGAGCATTCCCAGGAAAAATCTCCATGAAGGGATCCCATTGAGTGTCCCAGCAGAACTGGGAGCCCCCCAGTAAACCCAGCACACACACGGAGCAGGAGGTGCCCTCTGCCCTGTACAGGGACAGGAGGAAGGGAGCACTGGACAGACAGAACCACAACGACCAAATCCTGCAGGTTTCCACCCAAATTAAACCCTCTGGAGCTCCCACACTGCCACTTCATTTTCCCTCTATCCAAGCTGAACACCTGGAGAGGGCTATAAATCCAGGATAACTGTGTGTTATCAGCCCAACTCCACCCAGCTTCCTGCTCGGATCAGGGGATCAGAGGCAGAAAATCCCACAAATCCTGGAGAAAACAGGACGTGGAAGCAGCAGCCTGACAACCACCTCTGGGTCGTGTTTGTTTTAACTGGTGAGTGTGGGTGGGTGCAGGGATGAGCTGGGCTTGCCAAGGTGACATGGAGCTGTTCCCTGGAGATTGGCCTGGGTGTTACAACTGCTCTTTGAGGGCCAGAAACCTCGGAGGGGAGGAACAGCACGAGGAAACCTGATGKATTTGGCACAAGGGAGAAGGGAAGGGGAAGGAAGCTCCGAGGATCATCTCACCTGTTTGTAGGCGTAAAGCTCTTTGTGTGCCTGATGCCTGAGCCTGCAATGAAACCAGGAGAAATGTGAGGTCAGACAAAAAATTGGAATTACTGTAATACCTCAGACATTCCACTTGTCTGCTTTCCAGATTTAACATGTTATATTYTAGATTTTTTTTATGTCAGAAATGAGAATAGCCACAGGAAACAACATGTTCAGGCAACATCCAGTTTTCTCTATCCTGGGAAGGCATGTCTCCAACCCAAATCACACAACTCCTCCCTTATCCCCCTTCTGACCTCCCTGATTTCCCAAGCACGCATCACCTACATGGTTAAGATCAGAAGAAGCAGGTGAGGAAATCCCAATCTGCCAYAAATCCCCTCAGTTTCCAACCACTTCTGCTGGCAACAATTCCAAAACTGGACACAGCACTGTTTTCCAAGTGATGGGGATTTGGACCTAAGGAAAGCTCTGCTCCTGCTCCAGCAGGGACAGGGAAGGAGAATCCCTGCCCAGAGGTTTCCCACCAAAGCCCCCATCACACTGCTTGGGTCACACTGGGTTCTTCAGACTCAGCTTTTCCTCAATTCTAAAATCAATCAARCAACATTCACTGTGGAGCAAACCCAGGGATGGAGAGGAATGGGATGAACCTATTCCACAAACACCTGCTGCAGTGGGAAGCCCAGCAGGAATTTTAGGCCACAAGCAAAGGGCTGGTTCCAACCCCTCCCTCTCCATTCTCCCTTCTTCAGAGTCAGAACCATTTTCCATAGGAGAGCTCCACAGGCATCTGCTGGCTGGAGAAGCCCATTATGCTCCTAAAATAAATACATTTAAAACTGAAGTAACTAATATTGCCTCTCATTACCAGACACAGCATTTAATAAAGTACCTGGAAAACTCAGGAGCGAAGTCACTAGGGCTGAAGAGCTGGCCAAGGACTTTCCATAAGGAGTCAATGTATGGCTGCAGGGCTTGGAGAGCTGTAGGAATATTTTCCCCAGCCAGCCCTGAGTRTGATTTCAGATGGGAAACCCCCTTGCCTGGAATTTCTCCTCCAAAACTATTCTGGGGGCTGTCTGAAATCCCTGGCTGTTTCAACCTGAGCTCCTGGGGGTTTTCCAATCCTGCCACGCTGCACTGGGGGAGTTACACAAATGGGATGGAAAAATATTTCCTTATGTCTGATGTCCTCCCCCAAAATGTTGTGGGCTTTAGAAGTTGAGGGATGGGTAAAAATACACCTCAATGGTGCAGGGAGAGATGCAGTAAATCAGCTCCTGAGTCCCAAATTTCATGRGGAGCCATCCCTCCTGCTCCAACAATTCTGCCTGGCAGGAACCTGGCYGTGGAACCACACAAAAAACACTGTAGCAGGCAGGGAGGAGAGAAGGAGGAGGAGGAGGAGACTGGGGTCCCATCCCTCTGGCAGTGACCCTGAGCAGAAACACGAGCAGAAGATGCAGGAACAATAGAGAGAACAGGATGAAACCGGCCCAATCCGCAGGGAAGGCAGTTATGAAACACAGATGGGGAGAAGCGAGGCGTGCACTGGAGATCACAGACCAGGGAAAAACTCCCGGAATGGGAAGCAACATCCATCTCATGGAGCACCCAGGGGCCACGAATGGTTTGGACCCCTGAGCCAAAGCCACTGGAGCACTTGGGAGCAGTGGTGCCCTGGATCTGCACAGTTCCGTGCTGTAAGTGCAGATCTGCAATGCCCTGGGCTGGTGCTGAGCCAGACGGGGAGATTTTCCAAAAAAACCCCCTCCCTGGAGGTTCTGGGGAGCAGCACGAGCGCATCTGGTGCCGAGGCGTGCGAGCTCAGCCMGCTCCTCCTTGCTTCCCTCTCTCTGAGCCAGGATCTGGGGCCAGATGGATCCTGGTGGGGCTGGTGCAGCTGTTGTGAGGAGACCCCGGATCCTGGCAAGCGCCGTTCCCAGTCGGCTCCATCCATCTCGTGTCGAGTGCTGCGACTCCYGAGGAATTTCTGGCAGATGCCTGACTGAGATAAGGGACCACACAGYGCCTTTGGGATCTCTTCCTGCAGGAATGGGAGAACCCTGCTTCTTTGGGTGACTCAGTCAGCTACACCAAGTGGACAACTATTGGTATAAAATGCAGAGGGAATTTTTTTTTGCAGATTTGCCTCCAAGATCTGCTTATTTCATGCTTTGTAGTGGGAGTGGAAAGATCCTGGGCATTGGCCAATTTCTGTCCCATCACTGTATCCCTGTCCCCATCCCAGCTGGGCTCCTTGGGCTCTTCATGSAATCACAGAATCGTTTGGGTTGGAAAAGCTCTCCAAGATCATCAAGTCCAACCATTCCCCCCAGCACTGCCAAGGCCACCACTGACCCCTGTCCCCAAGTGCCACATCCACACGGCTTTTAAATCCTTCCAGGGATGGGGACACCACCACTGCCTTGGGCAGCCTGTTCCAAAGCCTTATCATCATTGGAGTGAAGAAATTTTTCCTGATCTCCACTCTAAATGTCCCCTGACACAACTTGAGGCCATTTCCTCCTGTCCCTGTTCCCTGTGAGCAGAGCCCAAACCCCACCCTGGCTGTCCCCTCCTGTCAGGGAGTTGTGCAGAGCCACAAGGTCCCCATAACCTCCTTTTAACCAGGCTGAGCCCCCTTCCCAGCTCCCTCAGCTGCTCCTGGGGCTCCAGACCCTTCCCCAGCTCTGCTCCCTTCTCTGGACACAAACCCCAACCCTTGTGTTGGATGCTGACAGGTCTGAATGCAGGAGGAGACCCTTTTTAGGGTCTGTGTACCCTGCACCACCCTGAGATTTTGACCTGCTCCAGACTGGGCAGGGATGKGCCCTGAATGATCCACAGAAAAACACAGAGAGAGGATGCTGCAACCTTGGTCCAGAGTGAATGTGGCATTGCTCAGCTCAGCATCCTTCTGGACTGGGTTTTATGGCATTGAAGGCAACAAGAGTTTATCGCTTTCATTTAATTCACCAGAGATCAGATACAACCAGCTGCCTGCAAAATCTCATTTCCTTGTTCTTCCTTTTTTATCTGTAATTTTGCCAAGCAGAGGCAGCAGCCATGAGGGACCTGAGCTCTGACCTGAGTGGTTTGCAGCAGCAGAAGAGCTCGAGATTCACCTGAACAGGCAACGATGATTTTTGTTGTGAAATTCCTACTGAACTCTGTTTTGAGCCAATACAATTAAAAAAGTCACTTTTCCTCCATTTGGASCGGACAGCACAGCCTGTATTGACACAGCTGCAAGGCACAGCTCATGCTCTCTCCTTCCCCAGCACATCTTTTATTTAATGCCATCAGCTCTGCAATTTGGGGAGAATACACCTGATATTGGCTCTTACATCCTCTGGATGCCTCCCCAGYTGGGGATGCGGGGGAGAGCTGCAGGGGATGTTCTGATACAGAGCAGGAGATGGGAACCAGGGCCTTGAGGGTGGTGTTTGTCATGAGCTTGGTGTTTGTCAAATATTTGCAGATTTGGAGTTATGTGAATGGAGGGAGAGGATGGGCTGTGTTGACTCTGCACCTATGGAGGGCCTGGGGAAAGCCAGGAGCTGCTGTTACCTACAAAAAAACCCCATGGATGGAAGCAGAGCCCTAGAAGGGGCCATCCTGCCCTTCTGATGCCCTCACCCTTGCAGATGGGTGCTCCTCATCCTGCTGTCCACGTGCAAGGCCTCCCAAACCCACCAAAGCTGAGGCTTTTATATCCCAGACRAGCTGATTTTACACAGCAGCTTCCRTGGAGGCRGATGTTCCTGGGACACTGGCAYRGCTAAAACCCATGGCAYGGCAAAACCCTCCAGAACGGGGGCTGGAGGATCCTGTTTTGGTTCTGTTCTGCCAATAAAACAGCTGAGGGAGGAGGTTGGAGGAGCCATTTGTGGAGTCTCTCTAGGGTTTTGGGCTATAAAGGGATCACTGGATGACCTAATGCAACTCCCCATCTATCATGAGTTGCTAAATAGCACCTCAGGAACAGCAGCCAAAACRTCTCGTCCAGAAAGGTCCTCGCTCTTGATTTAAAGACGTGAAGAGACAGAGGACTTGCCACTTCCTTGCTGGCTTCTCTCCCCAGTTACTCACCCTCTCTCTCTTACAACACGCCTCCAGCTTCTAAATTTAAAGCTTTTTTGGCTTGACCTTCCAGACATTACTCCTTGTTTTTCCTTCCTTGGGGCATAATACACGCAGCGAGTGCCCAGGAAAATACTCTCAAAGTCCAAACACCTCTTCAGTTTTCTAAGTGAGCCATATAGGCTTGAGCTCCACCTGAGCAAAACACGTCCTTGAGCCTTCTGAACACCTCTGGTCTATTTTCTTTTRTATGCCCTCCCACTGGTGTCCCAGTTAAAATGTGAGCCCTGGATGCAGATGCAACATCCCAGGACAGTTTGGGATGTGTTGCACATTCAAACACCCTTTTCCTGTGTGCAATTGTGGGGAAAAAAAATTAGGTCTGATGCCCAAGCAGCCCAAATCACCCCTGGGTAAACCTGGGTTTGGGCTCACTTGCGTGTTTTATGAGCTTTTGCTTCATACAAACTGAGAATGGGTGGAAATTATYAAGTATTTAGAAGGTGACATGGAAATCTTCCTCCCCTGCTCCTCAACAGCAGAATAAAATATTTTTAACACCCTCTGGATAGATAAACCTGATGGGACTGGCTGCTTTGGTGCAAGGAGAGACTGGGTACCTGTTTTACAGGAAGACAGGGAGGGGATGTAATGGATGCACAACTTGCAGGGAGCTGGGGCCAGCTGAAAAGACAGAGAGGAAGGGAAGGGGATGGAAAAGCTGGAAAGGAGAGCTTTGGGAATGCAGAATTTTGGCWGCCACTGCTGGTTTAGTGATGCTCTCTGCTCCCAGGCACAGACTGAAGCACAGCCAGCCCCGCCCTGGGTTATCAGCACAACTCATCTCCATCACCACCTCAATTCCCAGGCACTGCATTTTTCCCCACTTGCCTCATGTTCCCTCCATTGGGAAGAGTTTCTCCTCTCAATTAGCAGCCCAAYAATCTCCCCAGTGGCCCATAAAATAATTAAAACAAGCCCCAAACTGCAACAACCTTTAACCCTCCCGTTCTGCTCCCCAATTGCTCAGATTAACACATCAACTCTGCATCATTAATCTCCAAACTGTGCTGTTGAAGRAGCAATTTGTGTTCAATAACCAACGGAGCAGGTATTAAACATTCCTTAGGCACGCAGGACACRGGTTACTCATTACAGAGGGAAACATGTTGAAACATTAAGCAGAAAGCAGGGACCATAAAACATCCCTTTCCAGGCTTTTCCAGGTTTTTTCAGCAAACATGCATCTCCCAGTTTAGGTGGATTATGYAACTGCTTTGTGGGAMATTARGCTGACGTAAGATGTGTCAAGGAAMGATAARGTGCTGCCATCCTCTTTTTGGGATGGAGGGATCAGTGATGGGTCTGGAATCAGGGAAGATCTTGGGGAACACTCCCTTACAGCTTTCCCTCACCTGATCAAGTAGCAACAGAAGAGCAAACTGAGGATGAAGACAAAGATGGCTGTGCCGAAAACCACGATGTATATGTTGAGAGGAAGGTTCTGGAACCCGATGTTCGGCATCCTGAAACTGTAATGCTGGAAGTCCGAGCTCATGGGTAGGCTGTGGAGACAGGGAGAAAACACATGGATGTGACATTCCTTAGGGATGGGGCTGCAGATGATTTCTCMCTCATCCCCCTCCTTGCCCAAAACCAAGTTCCCAGCCTGGTAACTTTGGAAACAAAGCAGGGCTGGATCAGCTGGGGCTGGGATTTTCCTTCTCCCACTGTGAGCTTCTCCTCCAGCTCTTTTTCTTATGCACATYATCCTTCAAGTTAAATGCTGGATGAGATGGATGGTGGGAATTGCATCCAAGCAGCCCCAGCTGCAGTAACTGGGGAAAAATACTGCAAGCAGCCAGGAAGCATTGGACCAAGGCAAGTTTGACTTCCCTTCCCAGGTTTCTAACACTGACTCCTCATTCCATAGAAACCCCTCTCCAAAATCATCGAGCATACACAGGGCCTGGCTGKGTCCAGTTGCTCCCAGTGCATCCCCAGCAGAGGGAGAGGACAAGGACATTTCCAGGAGACGCAGCAGCACTGCCGAGAAAAATTACGGGGAGACTATGGACTCTATAAAGCAGGCTTTGTTTGTTTTTTCTATCTGAGACGCAGGTTTGGTGATTTAAGAGCAATTCTGCAGGTTTCAGTTTTACTCCTCAGCACAGCCCCAGGCTGCTTCCCCCCAGGAAAACCCCGAGGCACTGGTGAGCGGCGGCCAAGAGGAAGAGGCGGCAATTTTGGCTGTCACATCCCACGTCTGGGACGTGTGACCAAATTTCCCACCCCTCAGAGAGCCCCAATTAAACCCCAGCAGCTGCCTGGGATAACRACTTCAGCGAATCATCTGGCCCAGGACTTTAATTGCACTTATTTATTATCTCTTATCTTTCTATCACGCTCTGAACCATTCACCCTCAGATAATCACAACTGTTGCTGGCCAGACATAAAGTTCCCCTGCCCCCAGCTTAGAAAAGGAAGTTAAAAATACACCTTGTTTTCCCTTTTGCCCACGGGAGACGGCTGGACGCGGCGTGCGATGAAGTTTTACAAGCAAGGAAAGTACCTGCAGTCTGAGCTTTGTTTCCCAAATAAAATCACTGAGGGATAACAAAGCCCTCCCCTGGAGCGGGGAGTTTTCCACAGTGCAGTAATTGCACAGCTCCTCATTTTGCACGGGGTGGGAAGACGGCGGGGGAAACCGCGGGATCTGAACCCACACGTGCCAGGGAGCGATGCTGCAAAATCCAACGTGAGTGTCCCTCCAAGCAACATCCTGACTCCTCAATCTCCCTTCCCCACTGAGACCCTTTTTTGCCAAATCCTGGGCTTTTCTCTGACTTCCCACCAGGAGCAGACTCACCTCTCATCCCGGCTGCCTCACCGGGACTGCCCCTCGCTCAAGGGGAGTCACATCCCTGCCAGCGCCGAACACCCGCCCGGGAGCCTCCCAGCTCCAGCTGCTTTCAGTTTCCTCAGCTCGCTGGAAGTTTCGAGGCGATTTCTGGTAAAGCCTGGATTTGATTAAAGCCTCCAGAGACCAACACGCATGTTCAGAACCTCTCSCGGCCAACGTGGAAACGCTACAAGAGCTCRGRGAGCCGGCACATCCCCCTGCCAGCRCTGGTGGGGATGGGATTTTATAGCCCAGCAACCACCCGGCAGCTCACGCTCCTCCACCGACGCCTGTTCCGCTCAGCTGAGCTGGTTTGCTTTGCAAATAAATTAAAAAAAGCCCCAACCAGCCCCCAAACCTTTGTTCCCAGCTCTGGCAGAGTTAATGCGCAGCTCGGCAGCGCAGGGCTGGGTTTGGGTTTCAGTCCCGCGCCGTTCGCKGGGTCAAAGGGATTTGGGACGGTTCAGGGCTCCCCTCGGTCACGCTTGTGGCACAAGGATGTTTCAACTGGAGGAAGGACGAGGCTGCCCCACCTCACAGTGCTGATAATCACTGCCTTTGGCCAAGCTTGGCTGCCTCCAGCTCCTCAGCCACCCAAGAGAAACGTCCTCCATCTGGGAAAACTCCGGGTGACTTTTTGCAAGGAAAGAGAGACAAGTCTTGGAGGAGAGRCAACAAAATCAACCAGTGCTGGACTGTTCTTCTTTCCTTTACAACTCTTCTAACTTGTGACAGTCTTCTCAGCAATCCAACTAGAAGATTCTGTAGCAGAGACAGTGGGGAAGAATGTCCTGGCTGCATTTGGGGCAGCAAATCCCATCAAGGTAGAAAAATTCCTCATGGTCTGTATGCGCCTGAGCCACTCGTACAMCAGTCCCCACATCCAGGAACACAGYTAGAAACCATCACAGCCCTCAGCAAATAAACAGCAGAAATAGAGCTCAGACAACTGCCAGCATCCTACTCTCMTCTTCCAATGGAACCATTTCCCTAATATTTTGCCCCAAAAGCACACCACAAACACAGCCAGGACCTACCTGCCAGCCATATCATGGGGGCTCAGCCTCCTGGGGAACACCGTTCCGTCCCCTGCAGTGCAAATCCAGGGAGCCCCACACCAGATTCATCCAACCCCAATGTGAAATAACCTTCTCCACATCGGAGCTGCCCTGGTCCTCCCTCCCTCTTGCTGCAACAGCTGAGAAATGTTACAGCAAAAAACACGGAGGTTAAAGGGGAAAAATCAGTTAGTCTGCCCAGGATCCAGGAAACTGTTAACTTTAAAAGACTCCAGTGAAATCTGATGATTTCAAGCAGCCAAGCTTTGGAGTTGGGTTTTTTTAAGGGGAGTGTGGAGGGGGGAGGAACTGTATTTTAATTTGCTTCAGATTTGCAAGGGCGCAGCCAAAAGAAATAAAAAGGAGCCATAAAGAAGGATGAAAAGTTTCTGGTGCAGAACAAAAGCCTCCCTGTTGCTCTCTCCATGGTGAAGGCATCTCAGAGCAGGGGGATGATGCTCCTGGGGCACTTATGGCCCTCAGCAGGTCCCTGAAACCCCTGGGATGGAAGACACAGACTGCACACAGAAAAGGGGGCACTGGCACAGGATGCCCAGAGAAGCTGTGGCTGCCCCTGGATCCCTGGAAGTGTCCAAGACCAGGTTGGATGGAGCTTGGAGCAGCCTGGGCTAGTGAAAGGTGTCCCTGCCTATGGCAGGGGGCTGGAACTGGACGATCTTTAAGGTCTCCTCGAGCCCAAACTATTCCATAATTCTGTAATTCCACAATTCTATGAAAAACAACACGGAACAATGGTGCCCTGGGATGCAGAGRGCCACAAATGGCACAACACCCTGAGCTCCACACGTCTCCTTCCTTACACCCTCCAATGACTCAGCCACGTGGGGCCAAGCACATCCAAGTTTCTCCAAGAGGGACAAAACCAAGCTTTAATTAAAAGCCAAGTCCTGGTTAATGGCCCATCGAGTGGCAGGGAAGGGAGTGTTACAGGTCAGCGTGAGCTGTGGCGTTGCAGCACTTTGATTACAYGTTGGGCTGTGAAAGGCAAACCTGGAAAAGCCACGTCGCCAAATTAATCCCCATTAGAGCCACAGCCAGCACTTAGTGCAKGAGGCCAACCTTGTATCCAGAGTGTTCCTCAGGAGATCTCACAGGGATTAATAAAGGATGCAATTATCTTCTCAAAGGTAGAAAAACTGAGGCAGGGAGGAGGAAGGGAGCGAGGCAGAGCTGTGGCCCCTGTAACCAGGGGGTGACACCAGGATGCCCCTCTAAGGTGATGCCATGGGCTGAAAGCTGYGGATTTTTGCTTTCCTGCTGCTTTGCCACATGCATTTGAACTGTGTGCTCCTTCTCAGGGCTTTACTTATTAAAAGGAGCTCCTTGTCCTTTTTTTAAAAAAATTATTATTATTTATTTATAAGATCAGTGCATAAAGGGGCCATGCAAGTGCTGTGCATCATCACACCTAAATACAGCCCACATGCTGGGTGGAGGGGTGGCTTCTGCCTCTGCTGTTGTAAATAAACTCCTGTTTTTAGAGGGATTTACTTTATGTTTTCAAGACAAACAACTTTCTCCACAGGGGTTCAAAGCAAACTCTGACTGAATCTCCTCAGCTATTGACTGGGGAAACCGGATGGAGCTGGTGGGCYGAGCATCCCACCGGCCAGACTGGCAAAGCCAACCCATCTCCAGGAAACACTGAGCTCCAAATACTCAAGAGCCAGACACAGGCAGCCCTGAAATCACGAATCCCAAGGAAAAGTGAATGCTAAGCCGTGGCCAAACTCCAAGCTGAAATATTTTATCGATGGGAAAGGTTTCAAGCGGGCGTGAACGGCGTCTCGAGTTTCAAAGGCGTTTCGCAACGTGTTTCAGACAGGTTTAACCAAAAGCGTTATTAACTCGGTTGAAAGTTAAACTGGGAGCAGCTGACAAGACCTTTCTGAAGCAGCCCAGGTTGTGTTGCAAAGCAGGGTATTCTTCCATGGAATGATTCTACGACAGGAAGGTTATTTAATAGCTGTGACTAACGGGGTAATATTTAAACGAAAAAGATTCTTCCAGGTGTTAAGAAGCAGCAGCCAGAGACRCCCTCGTTTAACTCGCAGGCAAAAAAATCCCCCTCGTGGACCCCAAAAGCAAAGCGCAGCCCTRACCTCAAACAGATGGAAGGAATTTCCTTCAGCTCCGTCTCTGGAGCTGGTCCAGCGCCAGGATCCGCAGCGTGGCGATGGGAAAATCACAGGCAGCTGCAGAGCCAGCCCCAAACCAGCACCGCTTTTGCCCCAGAGATGCCRTGCAGCTGCCATAACCTTTGCCTGGCATGGGGTGGGGGGAAAACCCAGTGCTGCTCCAGCCAGGAGTGATGGCCTTTGCTGTCCAAAACCAGGGAACAACAGGATTAAGAGTGGGGAAAAACAAAAGCTCGTGGTATGATTCGATTTTATAGAGCTGCGATGCTGCCATGGGGATGCTACATCCAATGCCAGCTCTGAGAATCCAACCTGGCCCAGATCCTTCACTCCACAAACCTGGCAGGGAGCGGGGGAGTGTGAGGGATGGTGCAAGGCTTGGCAGGGTTATTGATTAGTGAGAATAATGTGCTGGGAAMAGGGAACATCCCAACAGGTCCCTCAC